TGTTTGCATTTTGGGTTTGCCTGGAAAATCTTGCCATCTTAAACCTTGGCTTTATTTCATTTCTGAATTTGATTTTGTAGATGAGAACAGAAAAGAGGTCTTGGGTTACTCCTCTTTGTAGAAACTGTGCTGCTGTGCAAAGTGGAGGAGTTCTCAGTTTCAGATCTCCTCTCTAGTGCTCCGAGAGAGAGGTGGGGGTTTTATAGGGAGGTGGCATTGGTTGCTTTGTGCTGGGATTGGGCTCCCTAGGTGTGGTAGCTCTAGGCCGACGTCCTTCTCGGAGACCGGCTGTCTGCAATCAGCAGTACTTCGTGAGGCAGTCCTTCCAGCTATATGTGGCATGGCTTGGCTTCAGTGCCCTGTAGGAGGTGGGACATCAGCCTCGCAAAGTCCTGCCAATCAGAGATAGCTTGTCCCTGAGCTGACTCTCCCCCTGGCATTTCAGCAGGCAGGGAGCCTTGTGGAGAGGCAAGACACTGCCGATCAGGCAATTCTGCGCCCTCCGTCCACTCCTGCGGATTGTGGCAAGCTTTGTCGGAAGCTACTGCTGGCCACTGAACCAAGCCCTGAGCTGCAGGTGCTGCACTGTTCAAAGTACGCTGTAAACCAGTACTAGACAGAGCATCGTGATGTGACTCCATTTTGAATGCTGGCTTTTGGAGTTCCTTTGAGTGTTGAAGTGGTTAAGATATCTATGACTTGATTTTCTTCTTTATTCGTAGGATGTTCGAAACTTGCGATTTGCTCATAAGCCTGAGGGGAGGACTAGACGATCCATATTTGAGAATTTAATGAAATATGCTTTTCCAGTTTCAAATAATCTGGTATGTTTTTCTTTTTTTGATGATGCCAAAACATGCAGAATGGCAGTAAGCAGGTTTGTTCAGTAGCATATACTTGGTGTATATATATACTTGGTCCCAATAACGGATGGAGAATATTCAAAGCACGTTCAGCTAACGGCTAATGTTCACTGCACTGCTCTCAAGTGTGGAACGCGGTTTATTTGTTTTTTTCATATTATGGCTCTGCAATTGTTGCTCCAAGTACTGATTGAAAGAATCTAGTTCTTAGTATGTAAGAGCCTGCTTGTCCAGGCATTTTTTTCCTTCTCTTTTTAAAAATAAACTTCTTTTGTCCATGAAGTACTAGGTAATGGACAAGCAAGATAAGGGGTATAGAGGAAGGTACGTATCTATACTAATTACCTTGTAGAGTAAGCATGTTGATTTATTTGTCATAAAGCCTTAGAATAAAAGTAGTCCAGAAGAGGGGAGAGAAAAAGGACCTGTCAGGAGTTATCTGAGATATCAAATGTCTGGGAAATGGGCTTTGAGTACTTAATGATAAATTTTCTTTCTTTCAGCCACTTTTTGCATTTGAGTACAAAGAGATTTTTCCAGAAAATGGATGGAAGGTCTATGACCCCGTTTGGGAGTATAGAAGACAGGTGGGTCATGAGCCATATCCTTTCTCATTCTCTTTGCTCTTCAGAAGTGAGGCTCTGTGCTGCAGTATAATTACAGATTGCATGGATTGGAGAATGATCCCACTGACAAATGTCTTGCAAGCTGGCTGAGGGCTTTTTTCTCCATAGTACAGTGACTGATGACAGCAGTACAACTTTACAGATAGTAGCTCCACTGATGCATGAGTGGGAGATTGCTCATACTGCAGAGAGCTAACTTTAGGCTTTGATAGAAACACCTATTGCTCTGGCTTAGTCATCAGCCACTGCTGGCAGTGAGAAACGCAGGATACGTTTTGCAGGTATGTGCATCCCATTGTTGAGTTTCATGCCTAAGTTCTTGCTTGTATCAGTTTTGATTCTTTCTTTCTTCTGCTTTTCTTTTTAACTTTTAAAACTAAAAATCTGTAAAATACTTCAAACAGGAACTTGGAAAAAAAATTCAATGTAGAATGCCTTTGTTTTCTTGGGGAACGTTTTAGGGATCAGCCTTGAGAGAGTTATGATTAACTATAGGTTGGAACAGACAGGTGGAGTGTTTCCCGGCGAGGCTGGTCAAACATGTTAATGACTGTGAAGTGGCAGGCTGTCGGTTAGGAGCACTGGGATATACTGGGATAAAAACTTGAGTGGTCCTTCCTGAGGGAAAAAGATGGAGGATTTTATTTTATTTTATTTTTATAATGAGATGACTCATGTCATAAAATGCTCAAGTTGAGGGAACAACATGATTTGGTGACAGTTCTTCCCTGACCACAATAAACTTTTGCTTCATCCAAATTTGTCAGGTAAAACCAATTTTCCTTTGTTAAATTAAGAAATTTACAGCCCTGTAATTTAAAGATTTTTTTGAAACTTGCATAAAACAGAACAAAAGAAGCCATGTGGCCTAGTGTAGATGCTCCTCTGATCCCAGACATCTAAAATCTAAGGTAGGGAATCATTTTACCAGCTTTAGCTTTCTAAAAGCTGGGCATGCATTCTAAGCTGGTTATCTAGGACTGTCATTAACAGATGGAGACAGAGAGATTCCCTATTGGGTGTGATCTGTTCCCTCCTAAAATAGCTGTCCAAGATCACTGGCTGCTACACGAAGGTGAGATGAATCCTACCTCTGTTATCTTCATTGCAAAAAAATTGTACATTTTGCAATGAAATATCACAATCAAAAATCCTGGTAGGGACAAACTCTGGTTATTAGCTATTCATAATCAATGCTACACCTCGTATCTAAGGTTGACCTTGGCTGGTTAGACCAAATAATGCAGTGATCATTGGTTCCTTTAGAATCATGCATCTTGATATTTAATTAATCTCTGTTTATAAAGAACGACATGTAGACCAAATTGTGGGGGGAAGATATTTCTTTTTAGAACTGAGATCTTTGGAGACCTGTCTGCTATCAAAATACTATCCATTGAAAAGCACAACTTTCATTTAGCTGAGCTTCAGTTAAAAAGGAGTAAGTACAAAACACATTCTTACAATACCTGGAAAGAAGAAAGGATGACACTTGAGAATTTGGAAGTAAATTCTTCCAACTTCTCAGTCTTGGCATTTCTTTTTTTAGAATGCAGGCTTTTCTGTGCAGATTGCCTTTTATATTGTAACTGGCTATACCCTTAATTTATCGGGATCTTGATTACGTAGTGAGTGGATACATAGATGCACATTAGTGAGTGGATACATAGATGCACATGTGTGTGATTGGTAATATTTCATGGTCTTCCAGTAAAGAAAATGGGCCTTGTGTCTTTGTTTCTGATCGTATGAGATGGCATACTTTACAAGCAGCAGTGTTACATTTATGGCATTTCTGCAACCCCTGTTTCTTTTGTAATGACCTGTTTTTGTATCATTTTTGAGTAGACAGGAAGAACTTAGGGTGGTTGCTTTTATGTCAAGAAACCAAACTGATGTCAATGTGCTAAAGCCCCAGTCATTTGCTTACGCTGGTGATTGCAAAAATGTATCTGAAACAGAATTTTTTTGCAGACAAAGCCTATCTGAATTTTACCCGTGATGGACCACAGTCATTCCTATTCCAGATCACACAATCTGTCTTTTCCAATAGCTTATCTCCAAAAGTGACCAATACCAGCTGCTGAAGAAGGCAAACCGTACCGCAGTTTACATTGTGATCTGGCCAGGAGGAGAATATCATTCTTTTTGTTAGAATTAATTTAGGTCCTGTAGCATGAAGCTTTATGTCCTCTCCAAAACTTTGAGATGTTTTAGTTTGTTTATTTAATTTTGGCATTTATAACTATGGATGTTCAATTTATCTGTGTGAAGGTCTTATCTTTTTTTTTTTTTTTTTCCTTCATCCAGCCAGGTTCTGTTAAAGTCATAACAAATACTGAAATAAATCAGGACTGTGTCCTGAGATGGCAGCAGGGATTTGTCAACAGTGAAACAAAACTGGCATCATCAAATCAGATAATGGAATTACCTGTCTCTGACTGTATGAATTGTGATCAGAAATAGGAGAGTAGAACATATGCACTATCTGCAGGACCTTTGGAATTGGTTTAAAAACTAATATAGAAGAGCTGGCCTGGGGCATATGCAACCCAACAATACGGTCAGGCGTTAACTTGGTACATCTTAGGCCAAGTCAGTCGTTTCTCTGTGGGAGTAGGAACACAGAAAGAGGGGAGTGGAGCGAAAGTAGAAGCCAGCTACCAGGCATCCAGAAGAGATTTTCACAGTAGGATCCAAGATAGAATCTGTATCTCCACGGGTAGACATGGCAAGCTGGTATGTGGTATGACTTTTTTCAGGTTAGTGTAAGTGTGTTGATATGATAGAGATTGTGGCAGTAAGGAAAGACACTCAGTAAACTCCAGGCTTGTCTGTTAGTGTTCTTGGGAAAGATGGTAATATGTAACTTATTAAAAATCTGTGATTGTGTAAAACTATGGGGAGTAATAAACAACCTGTAGAGAACAAAAGGAACTCAGAGATGTTTGGGATTTAGTCAGTAAGTGAAATCACATGTGGCAAATGAAATTTAAAACTGAAATTGCTCCCTGATTTTTATTACACGCAGACTGGCAGAGAATAAAACAGACTTGCAAAGTGAATAAGACTCAGTTGAAACTAAAAGGCCTTTAGATGCCTTTAGAGTAACTTAAAGCTTTCATTTTCCTAAACAAGGTGGGGAGCAGTTGGAAAATATTACAAGGAGTTGTAAAGTTTGAAATATGTGATGTTTCCCCACAGAAGTCATGGTCCAATCCTATGCTCTGGTCAGATGTACCAGGGAGACACAGTATACGGCTGTGGTTGCTGTTTTCGGAGAAAACATAGACATGAATACTTGAATAGGAGCTGGAAGTGCCAAGTATTAGTGTACAAGGATGGGAAAGGTAGAGCACGAGAACAGATTCCTACTGAGGAATGTCGGATATAATTTAAATGAGAAAAATAAGAACTGACTTTTTAAATGCCACATGGTTTAACTGAGACTCTGTCTATGCTGGGCATGTCTCCATTGCAAAATGAGGCACGGCTCCCTTGTGCTAGTGAAAACAACCAGGGCTTAGTACATCGCGCAGTACAAGCCAGAGATACCAGCTTGGCTCTGGCAACTGTTCTTTGTCTGTGTAGAGTTGTGTCTGAGCTAATATGCTCAGCATCTTTGTATCTCATAGTCCAAATTGTCTTTGGGATGTAACTCGGGACCCTCCCTGCCTTTCCGGCTCCTGCTCAGGAGGTACCTGTATGTCTGAGCTCAGAATCTGTTGAGCTGATCTGGTAGAAGAATGTTGGAGAGGTTTTAGTCCAGGCAAGGAAATGACTTTTTTCCTGTCAGTGTTAAGAGCCTCATGTGCTTAAGCTTAAACATACGCTCTTGTGCTTTACAAAGAGCTGGTCTCAGTGCCATGCCGCTCTGTCTTCAACAGCTTTACACTGCAAACGAAGTGAAAATCTCATATTCTGGAAGGTATGCAACATGCTTAGATCAAGTGATAAATGAGCACAGGTGATTAAAGTAAGGTGTGAATGACTAGCCAGAGGCAGACTAGGTCTATTTGTGCATGAAGATGACACAATGGCCACGTCTTTATGGGTAGATTAAACAGCACTAAGGAGTGCTCCTTAGCATGGGGGCTCCATCATCTCTAGGCAGAACGTTAAATTCCATGGCATTATGCCTGTTCCCAGAGTAGTTTTGGTCCAGGCTGTTACCATCCCTCTTTTCAGTAAGTTTGTTTGGGCATCTTTAGCCATGCACAAAGAGACTCTGACAAAGGATATGCACATATTGAAAGTATGTACTTACTAATACCCAAAAAAGAGAGCTGGGATTTATCTAGCTATTAATCTAAGCATTAGTGCTCACCTCCTCAGAGAAGGCACCTGAAGAACTGTCAGGTTCTGACTGACTGCTGGCCAGGCAGGCACGAGTCAGAGGAGAAGGATCAACCTCCGCACCTCCCTCAGTTTGGTGGTTGTTGCTGAGTTGCCATCTTCCACCAGCAACGCCAGCACCAGCTCATAGGTGACCCAGCTGTCAGCCCTCACCTGCAGACTGCCCATTAGGCTCTCAGTTTTTCCTTGAGGATTTTATACCTTTTCAAGGTGATGTTTTCCCTCTCAAATCCTTGAGCTACCAGTGATCCCCATCGCAACAATCCTTGTCCTCTGTCTGTGATTTTACGTTTCTTTTCTTCCTGTAGGCATTCTCACAGCTCTTTCTCATAGCTTTGCAATGTTCTAAGAAGTCTGAGCCAAGGTTATACAGCTGGGCCATATCAGAGTTACACCCTGGAACCAGCAGTTGAGCCATTGTGGAGAAAATATTAAAGAGTAGGTGATGGAGAGAGGGTTGCAAGGCCAAACAGCATTTTCCCAAACAATCCTTGAGCACAGTTCAGAGGTTAGTGCAAGCCAAGGGGATCCTCAGTACATAGTCTGGGAGAACTGCTCTGTTTAGAGGATAAGTGATTTTAATTGTATGGATGTGAGGTGCTCTGTGCCAGCTGGTTTCAGTGAGAACAGTCATCGGCACTTTTAATTTACTAGTGTAGGTGTGGCCATGTTGCCTTCCTTGATTTGTCCTCAGGCAGTGATCAAGCACGACTTTTCCTGAAATCAGGTCTACTAGTGGCATTAGTTTGCCAGGAAAAGACAGACCCTGTGCCCTGGCAAGCACGCTCTGGTCAACTAACCTGGAAAGCTGGCAGCAATGTTCCCTAGCAGCTTCTAGACCTTTATACCTGCTGTTAGCGAAGCATACCTAGGTTCCTCCTGCAAGTTCATGCACAGGCTGCTCCCAGTGCCAGTCCTGAGCCTCCAAAGGATTCTTAAGTTATATCTGTCGCAATCTGGGTTGGTTTGATAGTAGGCTTTTGGATGCTTACAGCTTACCTGGAGCACTGTAAAATGCATCCTATATGAGGAAATCCCAACATGCGTTATATTATGTTTGGCTTTCTCTATTGAATCCAGCTAGAGAAGTGTGCAGATCTAAAGGAGAATGAATAAACAGATTACACTACATGTAAATGTCCTTAGAAGATGCATATCCGGCTGCTCTGTGGTCAACTCTTCTAGTATGCTTTGCTTCAAGCTCTGCTTGCTTCACACCCTTGGAGCAAGCCACACTGATTCCAAAGCCCTCTTTGGGCGCTGCAATTCAGGCTCCCATGTCAGGGAAAAAGGGATGTTCTCTGTGATGCAAGGGCAATGAGAACCTCACTGACATCCGCTATCTTTTCTTTCTTTGTGGAGCTGACATGGATTTTCCTGGTGTAGTCTACAGCAGAGGAAAAATGTCATTTGAATTCTTCATGGTGGCAGCAAGAATGACAGCTGAAAGACTTAGAGCTTTGGAGGTATGAGTTCTTGAACGTACGCTGCTTGATCCAGCCATTCTGCGCAGCGCTGTGAAAAAGGTCCTTTTCAGTACCAGTGACTGCTTAATCTCTTCAGTGAGCATTGGTTGAGTTACAGGGTAGAAGGAAAAGGAGTCGTCTTCCACGTAACTGCTTGTCAGCTTCCATTTTCCTTGTCGTGTGTGTACCAACAGCAGTTTTAATTCAGATTGGAAAGAAATAAGTAGCTCTGCAGAGAAGGACCTGGGAGTGCTGGTGGACAACAAGTTAAACATGAGCCAGCAGTGTGCCCTTGTGGCCAAGAAGGCCAATGGTCTCCTGGGGTGCAGGAGGAAGAGTGTTGCCAGCAGGTGGAGGGAGGGGATCCTGCCCCTCTCCTCAGCCCTGGTGAGGCCTCACCTGGAGTACTGTGTCCAGTTCTGGGCTCCCCAGTACAAGAGAGACATGGCACTCCTGGAGAGAGTCCAGCGGAGGGCTACCAAGATGATTAGAGGGCTGGAGCATCTCTCCTATGAAGAAAGACTGCAAGAGCTGGGCCTGTTCAGCCTGGAGAAGAGAAGATTGAGAGGGGATCTCATCAACGTGTACAAGTATCTGAAGGGGGAGTGTCAAGAGGATGAGGCCAGCCTCTTCTCCGTGGTGCCCAGCAACAGGACAAGAGGCAATGGGCAGAAACTGAACCACAGGAAGTTCCATCTGAACCTGAGAAAAAACTTCTTCACTGTGAGGGTGACAGAGCATTGGAACAGGTTGCCCAGAGGGGTGGTGGAGTCTCCTTCGCTGGAGATATTCAAAACCCGTCTGGATGTGATCCTGGGCAATATGCTCTAGGTGACCCTGCTTGAGCAGGGAGGTTGGACGAGATGATCTCCAGAGGTCCCTTCCAACCTAAACGATTCTGTGATTCTGTGATCACATTCAGTCACACAATTATTAAGTTTCTGGTGTTTTTAGGGGATTATACAGCTGTGCCATCAGCGCAGAACCAGCCCCAAAGCAGAGAAATGACATCCAGTACCTTACCATACAGAATGGCACCGATGCTTGCTGCGTGAGTGCTCTGTATAATACTCTAGCTTCTAACAAACTCAGTCAACCCAGTAATCTCTTCATGTCTCTAAGCATTGATTTTGGGGTGTTTTACTGCCGATTCTCCCTCCTGACTTCCCTTTCATCCTCTTTTCCAGCTGCCACTCACCATGTTCGAGCTAAGTGCCAGGAGCAGAGTGGGGTCTATCTATACCCGTTTTGCCCTGCTCCTGGCTCACTTATAAACACCACAATAAGAACAGGCAATGCAGCTGAGATGCTGGCAGGTGATCCCCTGTATTGCATCTTCTGTTACCTCCGTACTTCTGTTGCTGTGGATGAGCCTTTCTGGAATCTTGTAATTGTCCTTTTCCTCAGTTACCTGAGCAAAATATCTACCTCTGCAAAGAAGCATGAAATGCAAGTTGCCAAGATAATGCCACGATAATGCAATCTAAGCCCTAGATTAACAAAAGTAGCCTTTAATTTCAGGTCTGGGAATTTAACTGTTTTGAGGTCTCAGAGTAATTAATTTTCTAACCTGCTGTTGCTTCCTCTTTAGGGAATTCCCAATGAAAGCTGGAGATTGACAAAGATTAATGAGCGTTATGAGCTGTGTGATACATACCCTGCCATTCTTGTTGTGCCCGTAAACATTCCTGATGAAGAATTAAAGAGAGTAGCATCTTTCAGATCAAGAGGACGCATACCAGTGAGTGTGAGAAAAGAAGCCGCTTTGATGTGGTTTCGCGCGTACCTTTGGGCCACAAATAATGCCAAGATTAGGCTGAGTGGATTCTAGGGAGCAAACAAATGGTCAGTGATGATAAAAGTGACAGCGAGATGTTTGAGGAGTCAGCAAGCAGCATTATCTGCTGGAACTGCTGTTGTGAAAGAGATGTAGACTAAACCAAAATGTGAAGATAAGATAACTTAGCAAAACCCAGACTGAATTTCAGTTCAGTTCCTGGGAAAAGCAAAATAGCCCTATTTAGTTGTTCACAATTGTCTGGAGTACTCTAACTTTTAGGGTAGAGGGATACTTTTTATTAGCGTGTGCAAACCTCTTAGTGAAAATGTTTATTAAAATCCAATTGTAAATAAGACAAAAGCCATTGTTATGATTATTATTTCAGTGGTAATTAAAAATATGCTATTTTACTCAAGCATATAAAAAACTAAATCTACTCCCAAAGTGCTTAATTTTTAAATTAAGGATAAAGATAGGATAGGATAAGGGATAACCCCCCAATGATTGAAGTTGGAGAAAGTATGTCTGTCTCTCACACAACAGCAAGAAAACGGTCTGCATCCATTTAAAAGTCAGACTTAAGCATATTTACTGACCTCTTGTTTGTTCCAAGTTTGGGAATGTAACCAGAACAAATGAGCAAGTACAGAAGAGTTCTGTCTCTTGAATTCAATCATGATTTAATATAGTCCAGCCATGCAGTACATGGCAGGATCCTAGAGCAAGCCATTACAGGTAAAACACTTCACTGGTTTAATCAATCCCGTTTTTCATGCATTACTTTCTAATTTTTTTCCAAAGGTATTGTCATGGATTCACCCAGAAAGTCAAGCAACGATCACTCGCTGTAGCCAGCCAATGGTGGGAGTGAGTGGCAAACGAAGCAAGGAAGATGAAAAGTACCTTCAAGCCATCATGGATTCTAACGCTCAGTCCCATAAAATCTTCATATTTGATGCAAGGCCCAGTGTGAATGCTGTAGCCAATAAGGTTAGGTGTTTCCTTCTCTATCAGGAGCTGGGAATGTTATCATTTAGAACACGTTTCCGATAACCATTTCAAATTATTCCTGAGGGTCAGACAGTATTTTCCACTGTGAGGAACACTGTGGTACATTTGCAATGATGTGATTTTCTAGACAGACTCTTACACTACACTGATATCAGCAGAAATGGATGACTACTGAAGGTCCATTTGGGTTAATCCAAAATTTGAAATGGGATTGAGAGGGAAAAAAAAAATCAAGCCAGCTGAAAAAGGCATTGGGTACTGAGGTCCATAATGCAAGACAGTGCCCTGGATCTTTTATACCACCATTTTTCACTTCACATGGTTGCAGGACAGCTTCCTCTAACAGCACCAAGAACTGTGTAGCTGTTAACTCTGATGGGAGCAAGGGATGCTCAGCACTTCCAAGAATCAGGCATTATGGTCTTTAATTTCAGAATATGAGCTAGGAATCTTTAATGACTAGGAATGTCTCTGTGTTCTTCCCTGCTGCGATGTCTCTTGCCATCACTCTAAGCTCTGTATTCTTGCTAGAACTGTTTGCTGTGCTAAAGCTGGATTTATTTTCATCTGTTTCTCACTACCTAGGAAAGGCAATTAATGTGTGGGATGATACATCCTCCTGTATAATAGTATGGTGCATATGTTAACAGCAGAATAGTGAATCCAGTGAACTAACAGCTTGAATGGGGATAAATGTTAATTACGGAGAGAAAAAAAATGCTTGTAACGTGACATTCTTTGGCAAAAATTATAACTTTCATTAGTAAGACACAAAAGAGACACAAACTGTGTCTGTATATATGTATGTTCTTAATTTCAAAGATAAATCCAATGTTTTCTGCCTAGCACAAGCATTGTAATATCCTGTGTCAGCTGATATTTGCTCAGGACAAGGTATGAGGATAAGATATCAAATGTATTTTTCCTTAATGACTTTTTGTGGATTTGTTTTTCTTCTTCAGGCTAAAGGAGGGGGCTATGAGAGTGAGGACGCCTATCAGAATGCAGAATTAGTGTTCCTGGACATTCACAATATTCATGTTATGAGAGAGTCACTGAGAAAACTGAAGGAGATTGTGTACCCCAATATCGAGGAGACTCACTGGCTGTCTAATTTAGAATCAACTCACTGGCTAGAGCATATCAAGGTATGCATGACTGCATCCACTGGATGTGGCAGAGTAATCACAAGTCTGAGCCAGTCTGTCCATGGGGAACTTATCCAAAGTTAACTCCAATGTAGGATTTTCAATTGATGAGAAATATCACATTTTAAAATTTGTTTTCAATTTTAAAACAGCTAAAAATGTAGTTTCTTTGAATGGGATATTCTGAGGAGAGGAGAAAAGGAACAGAAGGAGGGGCTGAAATACTGAAAGACAATATTTTGGAAGTGAAGTGTGTCTCTTGATAGTATGCAATTGTGAAAGCCCTGGTTAGAATACAGGAGTCCCAGAGTTTCCAAGCTCCTGATTTTGCAGTCCTGGTCCAGACGAGCGTATATTGGGCCTTTCAGGACTCCAAGCAGAGTGGGGACGATTTGGGCAAAACACTTCAGCTTCGACAAATGGTTTTCAAATTAAGCTCTTTTCCTCCTAAAAATTTCCAGGTGATGTTATCTATCTATTAATGCAGAAAGAAGCCAGTCTGAGCCTGGGACTGCAAGGCAACGACCGTTTTATGTTCATGTTTAGACACGGAATGTTACTGGATTTAAACGCTGACCTGTCCAGGGACTGAGCTTAAGGCAGGGGCTCTTTCAGAGTTGAGCCTACGCTACAGTTCACATATGTTGTCATCTTACTGGAGCAAAAACTGCGTTCAACAATTTTCTGTCCTATTTATAAAATAGAACTATTATCCTTGAAGCAAACAGAGCCGTTGCTTTGTCCAAGCATTGTCTCCAGCCATTTTTCATGCACAGTTTATGCTTCTGTTCCACAGAGATTTTTGTAATGTTTTTTCTCTTGTTCCCAGCTCATTCTTGCTGGAGCTCTTAGGATCGCCGACAAAGTGGAGTCAGGGAAGACGTCTGTTGTTGTACACTGCAGTGATGGCTGGGACCGGACAGCCCAGCTTACCTCTCTTTCTCTGCTCATGTTAGACGGCTACTACCGAACTATCAGGGGCTTCGAAGTACTGGTGGAGAAGGAATGGCTGAGCTTCGGCCACAGATTTCAGCTGGTGAGTCACTAGCCCTGGGAAGACACTGAACAGAAAGAGTTAATTGTCCACCTTGAAGGATTCAAAGGAGTTCAGCCTGTGAGAAGTCTCGCAGCTGAACTCAGAGAAGAAAGGTGAATAGCTACTGCTATTATTTTCTGCCTATATTTCCAGTCATACTCTTAACCTTCTTGGAGACAGCCTTGGTTAGCCATGAGAAACACGTGGTATTAAATCTTGCAGATACCTGACTGGTAAGTCATATCCCATTCTCAGGCGTAAACTAACAGTGGGCTTTGGGTTCAGGATGGATGTGCCTGCTGAGAGTTGGCAGGGACCGCCGGGGTATATTTGTCTTTCTTTCCAGTTCAGACCATTTTCTGAGCCTGCTTGGACATTGTCAGCTAACAAATGCCCTGATGTTGAAGAGGCTGGGAAAATTGGTGATGGCCTTGATCTCGTCTTTTCTTCAGGCACATTCTACTTTTGGGGAGGCTTTTAATTATTTAGGCAAAAGGCCAGCAGTTTGAGATTGAGTCAAGAGTGCCTCGTGATGGTATGCCTAGAGTCTGCAGCGGGGCAGTTTTGTGAACCTGTGACTTAGCTGTTTGTTACAACTTAGAGTGGTGGAAATGGAGAGTGTTTCAG